AGGTACATTTTGGCTGTATTTAATTATAATCCCTCTAAAGCTATTAGGCTGACGGTATAAACAGTACGGAAACATAGCATGTAGGGTAAGTGTACCAGTAGTCGGCACTTTTAGGATTTTCGCGTTTTTAATCGCTCACCATTCTGAGTGGAACATTTCAATTATTACAAAGTTAATTTATTCATATTCGAAATTTTGTATAGTTTTGCAATAATAAATAAAGTTTTAATAACTTTTTGTTAAATTTAATAAATTTGTAGTTTTATTAAAACAATGTTTTTTTGCCAGTAGTCGGCACCTCTTGCTAATTGTCGGTATGGCATGTTCCAACAGTCGGCATACCAATTTTTTTGTAAGAATATTTAATAATAATAATAAATTAATTCATTAAAATATAATATTTTTGTTTAGTTAAACTGATTCGACGTCTTTATTGTACTTTTCTTAAGAATATGGATTGTTGTGGATCTTCACAGACAAAAATTTAATTTTTATTAGAATAAATCATCTTTTCTTAGCGAAATTGTACACAAAGATAGCTGACAATATATTTGAAGTAAACAAAATACATTTAGTTATAATAGTTTCATTTATTTGGGCTTCAAAATAAAAAGTGCCGACTACTGGGACATGCCGAACTTAGGCACACTTACCCTACTACTCAGAATATTATTCAGTGTCTGTAATATAACGTTTTCTTTTTTCACAAGTGTTTATTTCATGAGTGGTAATGCAAGCTACACACGATACAATGATTAGAACAACTTCGAGTGTAGCCAAGTTGTATGCTTCGGTCACAAACAATACAACTTTGTATACAACCTCTTCGTACAACTTCAATTTTCGAAGTGTTCATTTGAGTTAAGATGACTCCGGAGATAATTTCGTGCTATATAATTGAGCACAATAGCTTCTATTTATTATTAATTTTTTGCAGTTCTATTTAAAAATATTAAAACGTTAATTATAATCACACATTTGATCGGATTTCGTGTTGTTTTGATGTGCGCAACGATGGTGCTACCTCTTTGAAAATAAACACCAAATTAAATTGTATGCGACATTCCCACAAACGTTACAATCGGTTGCTACAACATGCCAAATATCAAAAAAAAATGATTTTATATCCAACCTAGACACTACTTCGTACAACCGGCCCACAAACGAGACAATCTTGAACACTACCAAGTTGTACAATCAGTTGTATCGTGTGTGGCTTACGTACCACTTAGCTTATGTCTGATTTTAAAGGAAATATGTTTTATCCTGCAGTTGAACGAATATGGTTGTGTATACACTTGAACTGTGCTGGGACATATTGCGACATTATTTGGAAAATCATGATAATGTTGAGGATAGATGCGAAAATTGAGTACGGATTTTGGAAGATGACAAGCATCGTCAGATCCGTATGTAAATAAGCTAAAATGTTGCATTTGGGCACAGAAAACCCGCACGCATATATTGAAAAGCCGATGCACCCAGAACGATCCACTTTTTGGTTCTGATTTTGGTCCAGAAGCATAATTGGTCAATTTTTCTTCGAAAGGAAGGAATAGCCGTTGTGTTCTCGGACCGTATGGACCATATTGTACATTTTTTTTTACAAAAATTAAATAGGAGTGTGTAAGCAACATTTGGTTCCAACTGGACGACCGCTATGCCGTACAGCCGAAGCTGATGTCGGTTGGCCACCTCTGAGCTGCTTTTTGACACCTTGGACTATTATATGTGGGATGCAAGTGTCACGCCGACAAATCATAGACAATTGATACTATAATAGACAATATTTGTAAAGCCATTGGGTAAAATACTGCCGCACACAATCGATAATGTGTTAAAAAGTTGGACCAATTGACTACTGCATGGCCAATCGAGGCAGCCATTTTTTTTCAATTACGAGCGGGGAGGATTTTATTAAAAAAGAATTGTGAAAAAATACTCTGTAGTTCCTTTTTTCATCGCATTTTCAAAAAAGTTTTATATGTGTCAAGCGTCCTTCTGTTTGTTGGATTTTCACCTGTTGAATGTTACAGAAATAGTTAAAATGCACAAGGATATTTTGGGATGACAAGTAAAGAATTAACCAACAATAGAATAGAAGATCCGTTTGACAATTTTTAGTTTTATCTGTATAAAACGTACAAAGTGTCATAAAATTGTAAATTATTGTAATATCCCACATATTGCGTCCCAAGGTGGTCATTATAGATTTAAGTTGAATTTTCGAAACCTCAATGATCATAATAAGATGACGATCCCTGTACAATATTTCCAATTGTAGCAAATTTAATTTTTATGAAATGAAAAATAATTTTCTTTATAAAGTTTCATCACAATATGGTGCCCCCATCCAACTTACAAACAACAAAAAACTATAAAAACGAAAAGAGACCACTCACTATTTTACACCCAACGACACTGACTATAAATCGGTTTTAAAATCCCTCACAGTTCCAAATGAAATTGTTGTGGCAGCTGAAGTTGAGGGCGTGATTGTTTGGCCGTTGGCTGCTGCAATACGGGCAGAGCGTTGCTTTTATTACAACTGACAGAATCCGAATAAAGAAATGGATGTGAAAAGTTATTAAATCAATGGCGTTAAGATAATGGAAAACGGCCGTGAGTTAAATTCCAATAAAGTGATGGACTGCTGTTTCACACTCGCACTTTGCGTTAAGTCATTTCAGTTTAATTGAATATTTCCTAAAGAACACTATATGTTGGTGGTATTATAAAAGATTGTAACACCTCGAAATATTCGCCCAAGCCATAGAAAACTATATATGGATATACATCGCCGAGCTGAATCGATCTAGCTATGTGTATCCCATTTGACCATGTTTATTTGCAATCATGCTTCAGGTCGTAATTAATAATTTGATACAAGATTTGGTATGAAGTTAGCCTTAAGGTCCGAATAGAAGCCTGTTGATGGGGGAGATGATTGCAAAATATTTAGGTATTCAAATGGACCAAAAACAAAAATATTTATTGATTTTTTGATTTGCAGTTGCTCTACAGGGTGAGATGTAAAAACTGCAAACCAATTATAGACTGCTGTAATTTCTAAGCCACTCGTCGGACAGCTGTTAAAATTATTCCACTGACAGCTCATTATATTGTTTACAAGCATACAAAAGCATGTTGCTAAGAATTTTCCAGAAAAAAGTTATTCGTGATGGAATTCAAGCGTGATAGTGTGGCTTCTTTATATTTGGCTGGAAAACCACAAGTGGCTATCGTTAGAGCACTCCAGCATTTAAATGTAAATAAATCTTTTGTGTCTCGTACCATCGCTCGTTACCATGATACTGGTATCGTGGCCCGACCTTAAGGAAGTGAACGGAAGAAAACAGCAACACCAGCAGAAATGGCTCGAAAAGTAAAGAAGCGACTTAATCGAAACCCGCGTCGCAGTTGTCGAAAAATGGCTCGTGAGCTGAACATATCGCAATATTCCATTCGGCAAATATTAAAAATTAGCTCGGGGTACAGCCATTGAAATTCTAAAAAGTGCAAGAACTTATATCGCAACAGAAAGAAAATAGACTCAAAAGAGCCAAAGAGTTGCTTCGCTTGGCCGAAAGTGGTGAACTGCCGAATTAGGTTTTCTCCGATGAGAAAACATTCGTTGTCCAGCAGTTTGTAAACAAACAAAATGATCGTGTTTCCTGCCAAAGAGGTCAGCTGAAAATGTGCACCTTCGGTTGGCCACCAGAACTCAAGCGTCATGGTGATGGTGTGGGCCGCCATAACAGACGATGTTCGCTCTCCGCTCGAATTAATCGACCGTGGCATCAGAATAAATGCCGTATATTATCGCGAAAATATTCTGGAGGGTGTTTTAAAGCCTTGGGCGGGCAAACATTTTGGCCGCAGACCTTGGACATATCAACAGGACTCAGCACGCGCCACCCAAGAGTGGTTACAAAATTAGGATCCTCGCTTCATTTCCAGAGCACAATGACCACCAAAATCTCCGGATACCAATCCTTTGGACTATTGTGTCTGGAGCATTTTGCAAAGCAAGGTTGGCACCAAAAAATACCTAAGTGTCGATTACGGTTTCATTGGCCGTTTGAAGGCCATAATTCGTGCCAAAGGTGACCAATTCGAACAAATCTAAACTTATTCTAAAATTTGATGCTATTTCCGACATTTTTTGCTTTCATTCAATAAAATTTATGTTCATTCATGTTTATTTGAAATCACGTTTCAGGTCCCAATTAGGAATTTTGTACGAAAAGTTACCGCCAAAGTCAGAATAGAAGCCTATTGATGGGTGAAAAGATCGCAAAATATTGAGGTGTTCAAAAGTACCAAAAACAGAAAATTTTCTAGATTTTTCAGTTGCTCTACAGGCCTTAATTTTAAACCAATCGACGCGAATGTCTCATTGTGGTTAGAATTTAGGACTTTGGATTTTGAATGGCCATCGGTTAATATTTAGCGGATAAAATGGACTACGACTTTTGTGTGAAATTTTTTTTGAATACCGTATTAGCACGATAGAGGATATAAATTAAGGCAAATATTACCGATCAAAATCCCAAATCCATAATTTTTGCAGGACTGTATGCCATTATTTAAAAAAACCGACTAGGTAATCGAATAGGCTTGGACCTAAGGGGTTTTCCAATATATGATCGTGTTGTAGGGTATCATATTGAATCTAGGTGGCAGTGTAATAAATACTTAATTTCTATGGCATGTTCGTCTTAAAATAAGGGGATGTTGAGCTATCTCATTGTAAGTACTTATCAGTGTCAAAGTGTACTTATTAAAGCCATTTATTGATCTGGCAAAATTTCAAAAATAAAAAATGCCTAAATATAAACCATTAATTCAACCGTACTTTTTTGATCCAGAATAATTTCTAATATTTTCCTTGTAATAAACAATAATATTTAATAAATTCATGTCCAATATATATTCTATTTCAATTTTAAACCGCAAACATTTAAATGAAATCATTCCCCCCTCTTTTTCCGTTGCAGGTACAAAATAGAAGTGGCTGGCAAAAGTCTTCCCTCCCTAACCAACCTGGATAAGGGACGTTATGGTGTTATTGTTTTCGAAAATCTCGACAAATATCTGCACATGGATAAATGGAATCGAGAGCTGTTGGATAAGTACTGCCGCGAATATTCGGTGGGCATTGTGGGATTTGTTAGTCCCAGCGAGGAAACATTGGTGGCTGCTCAACTGAAGGGGTTCCCCCTGTTTGTACATACAAATCTTAGGCTAAGAGATGCTAGTTTAAATCCCGCCTCACCAGTACTTCGCCTGACACGCGCAGGCGAAACGTCATGGGGTGCCTTACCGGGTGATGATTGGACTGTATTTCAGCACAACCATTCCACATATGAACCCATAGAGTGGGCTCAACGTAATAGCCAAGATTATCCCTCGGATGCCGGTGGCCAAGTGCACCTGCCACTGACTACGGTGCTGCAAGATCATGGTCAATACGATGGAATAAAACGTATTTTCTTTGGTAGCAATTTGAAGTTTTGGCTGCATCGTCTACTCTTTCTCGATGCCCTGTCCTATCTGAGTCATGGCCAATTGAGTTTGAATTTGGAACGGATGATTCTGGTCGACATCGATGATATATTTGTCGGTGAAAAAGGCACACGCCTGCAGCCAGACGATGTACGCGCCCTAATCGCTACCCAGAAAATTATTGCCTCCATGGTTCCTGGATTTCGTTTCAACTTGGGCTTCTCGGGGAAATATTTCCACCATGGCACCCGCGAAGAGAACTTGGGCGATGATTTCCTGCTGCAGAACATACAGGAGTTTACCTGGTTTTCACACATGTGGAAACACCAGCAGCCCCATCTGTACGACAACCTGACACTGCTCATGTCCGAAATGCAGCTGAATCATGCATTTGCCGAGGAACACAACATACCTACCGATTCGGGGTATTCCATCTCACCGCATCACTCAGGTGTCTATCCAGCCCATGAGATCCTTTACGAAGCCTGGAAGAAGGTTTGGGGTATTAAGGTTACCTCCACGGAAGAATATCCCCATTTGCGACCGGCTCGCCTACGTAGAGGTTTTATCCATCGCAATATCATGGTCTTGCCCCGGCAAACCTGTGGACTCTTTACGCACACCATGTACATTGATCGTTATCCGGGTGGACGAGACAAACTCGACGAGTCCATACAAGGCGGCGAACTTTTTCAAACCATTGTCTATAACCCCATCAACATTTTCATGACGCACATGTCCAACTATGGGTCAGATCGTTTAGCTTTATACACTTTCCAGTCTGTCATCAAATTTCTACAGTGTTGGACAAATCTGAAGCTGGCTTCTGCTCCGCCCATCCAATTGGCCGAAATGTACTTCCGCCTGCATCCCGAGGAGGTGGATCCAGTCTGGGGCAACCCATGTGACGATCCCCGACACCGCAAGATCTGGTCGAAAACTAAAAGCTGTGATTCTTTGCCAAAGTTTTTGGTCATCGGACCTCAGAAGACTGGAACAACTGCCCTCTACACATTCCTGTCCATGCACTCGAGCATAGCTAGTAACATCCCCAGCCCCGATACTTATGAAGAGATCCAATTCTTCAATGGCAACAACTACTACAGAGGCTTGGATTGGTATATGGACTTCTTTCCGTCCTTCGAGTCGAACACCAGCACCGTGGCGCCCGCAGCGCACTACATGTTCGAGAAGAGTGCCACCTATTTCGATGGAGAAATGGTACCGAAGCGGGCTCATGCCTTGCTGCCGCATGCGAAAATTGTGACAATTTTAATATCTCCAGCAAAGAGGGCCTACTCGTGGTACCAACATCAGCGGGCCCATGGTGATGCTATAGCAAATAATTATAGTTTTTATCAGGTAAGATGCATCCTTAAGTCCCAATTTATATTCTTTAATCTGAACCCATGGGTCATTGGAGGGCAAACTACTTTCTTTCTCCTTCTTCTTCATCTTCTTTCTCAAATTTCTAAAACCATTGCCTGAGGATGGCATATTATGGGAGTAGATGAAAGTTTGTGCCATAAACGAATTTAAAATGCAACAAAACAAAAACGTCGAACTCAGCAGTGAAAGGAAAACCTTTTAGGTTGCAGAGGTTGAGGTTTTTGGGCGAACGAAACAATTTTGCTGATGAATTGAGGATTGACACAGAAACGTGTACATGCATGCACATACATGCTTACATATGTACTAGTCTACTATGTGCTGCAAGTCGCCGAACTTGTGGTTCGTTGAACGACCCTAGATCTAAACAAAAAACAACAACTTTGCTGTTCTAGATTTCAGTCTTGGCTGGTATTTATTGGGCAAGGAATAACATCAACAAGTAGATTTCTTTTTTTCATATTATTTTCGCATCCTGCATTCGACAGGAGGAATATTAAAATGGAAAATATGAGGACAGGCATAGTAAAATATTTCACTGAAAGATTGTATGTAATGTTGGTGTTGGTGTAGATTGAAAGTGGAATGGAAACAGGATGCTGGATTTATTGGTGCATCAATGTAGTGAATGTGCAGTATCCGATACAATATTTACAACTAATAGATTCAATTCTATGAAGACCCCTCAAACCTTGATATTTTATACTCTTATTTGTCTTGCGAATATAAACCGTTTAAATGGGTTTTGTGATCAAAACTTCGTCATATTTTCAACCCTTCATTATATGATGAAGGTCACATTATTGTTGTCATTGCTATTGCAACATTTATCTGTCTTTTGAACTCGCGACCTAATATTCGAATCACCTGATCAGTACTTGATATTAGTAGAAACCTTGTCTGATTTTGCAAAAAAAAAAATAGCACTGATTTCTGAAGAACTCTTTGCATATAATTGCCATAATCGATAACTAAAACTACACTTTTCTAAAAAATGATTTTTTATTGAGATATGACACTCTTTGAGTAAATTAGCGACGTGGTATTTTAAGGTAACGCTTACGATCTCTCACCGAATTGAATGGAATTTGGCATTCTGAGATCTCAAGTTTTGTTCAATATAAATTTTAAGTCTTGTCAATGGCGACATTTCCAGGCAGTAGCCACAACCGATGTGACGGGATCTTTGAAATATACGGGTTGCCCATATTCGACGGACCCATCTGGCAACGCCATAACTTTCGATGGAGATGTCACATTGCTTAATGACATACCGCGTTTGAAGCGTCAGTCCAAGCTGATTTTTACCATGAACCAATACACGCCACGCGAGCGCTCTGAAATAGTTGAAACTCAACTGCTTTTAAAACATTAAAAAATGTGAGAAGTGCGCCTTCTAAGAACACCATTAAGCGTTTATACGAAAAATTTTCGACTGGTAAGGCTCTTTCTAATCCGAAGAGGCCATATAAAAGTCGACCAAGACGATCGGCCGAGAATATCGCTGCCGTACGAGCCAGTGTTGAGAGAGCCAAAAACCCCGTTCTCAGCAGTTGGGCATGGCTCGGTCCACTTTACAACGGATTATTCGCATTGATTTGCATTTGTTCCCGTACAAAATTCAATTGACGCAAAGAATGTTGCCTGCGGACAAGCCTCGTCGATTGGAATGGGCCCAAAGGTCCGTCGAATATGGGCAACCCTGTGGACAATTTGTAGTTTTGAGGTCCGGCTAACATTTTCCAACCGAATTGTTTATAGTCTCAATACTATAGGATGGATAGTCTGTTGTGTAAAACTTGGACCTACAATTGTCAATTTTTTGTTCAATACCATTTAATCAGCATGAGTTATCTGGATATTGGTGTTTCTATTTATATCGGTCTATCTGTTGGATACCTGTTTTATAGGAAATGCTATTGGAGTCATCCGACTCATACCAATGGTAACCTATCTGCTGAAGTTCTGGACTTTTGCGCCCTTTCAATACTAATTGCTGAAACCATTCTGTTTTTTCAGAGACCAAGTCACATACAAAAATACAGAGAGCCAGATGGAGAGAACATGTCTCCATCGCTTAATTCCGAGAGAACTGCCTATTAGTACTTCATCATCATTTATGACATTATATTACTCACTTAAAATGTCTACTGCTTGCTTGATTTTTGTACCCTACACCACGAGGTGGTTAGATTATTATGTCTTTGGCATTTTTTGTAAAAGGGCAAAGGAAACGAAATAAGCCCATAGTTCCTTTTGATGATCTGCATAGAATCACATTCTGAGTCACATTAAAGAAAATCGGTCAAAATTTAGGTATAGCTCCCATATATGTATATATATTTTCGTCCAATTTGCCTTATATTGTGCACCAAATTTGTAATATCAGTTCAAATAGTATGGAATTTTGCACGTACGACCAGATTGGACCTGAAAATAGGTATGTCAAATTTGAATTCGGAATCGGTTCAGATTTGGCTATAGCTCCCATATATATTTTTCATCCGATTGTTATTTTTGTGCTTCGCAACCATAATATGCACTCTGTAACAAATATATTTGGGGAAGTATAACAAATACCCTTGATAAGTTTTATACAGATTGGTTAGGATTTGGATATAGCTCCCATATAAAGCGTGATTTTTTTGAGGTTAGGATTTTCATGCATTAGTATTTGACAGATCACGTGGGATTTCAGACATGGTGTCAAAGAGAAAGATGCTCAGTATGCTTTGACATTTCATCATGAATAGACTTACTAACGAGCAACGCTTGCAAATCATTGAATTTTATTACCAAAATGTTGGCAGAAAATCCGCTTTTTTATCGACAAATTTTGTTCAGCGATGAGGCTCATTTCTGGTTGAATGGCTACGTAAATAAGCAAAATTGCCGCATTTGGAGTGAAGAGCAACCAGAAGCCGTTCAATAACTGCCCATGCATCCCGAAAAATGCACTGTTTGGTGTGGTTTGTACGCTGGTGGAATCATTGGACCGTATTTTTTCAAAGATGCTGTTGGACGCAACGTTACGGTGAATGGCGATCGCTATCGTTCGATGCTAACAAACTTTTTGTTGCCAAAAATGGAAGAACTGAACTTGGCTGACATGTGGTTTCAACAAGATGGCGCTACATGCACAGCTCGCGATTCTATGGCCATTTTGAAGGGAAAACTTCGGAGAACAATTCATCTCAAGAAATGGACCGGTAAGTTGGCCACCAAGATCATGCGATTTGACGCTTTTAGACTATTTTTTGTGGGGCTACGTCAAGTCTAAAGTCTACAGAAATAAGCCAGCAACTATTCCAGCTTTGGAAGACAAAATTTCCGAAGAAATTCGGGCTATTCCGGCCGAAATGCTCGAAAAAGTTGCCCAAAATTGGACTTTCCGAATGGACCACCTAAGACGCAGCCGCGGTCAACATTTAAATGAAATTATCTTCAAAAAGTAAATGTCATGGACCAATCTAACGTTTCAAATAAAGAACCGATGAGATTTTGCAAATTTTATGCGTTTTTTAAAAAAAAAAAAGTTATCAAGCTCTTAAAAAATCACTCTTTATATCTTTCTCCGATTTTCTTTTGCAGACAGAATGTAATTTTGCACTTGCGACCAAATTGAGCCCAGAAATAAGTATGTCCAATTTGGTGGAAATCGGTTTAGATATAGCTTTCATATATATTGTTCATCCGATTAGTTGAATTTGCCCTGCACAGTCGTAATATGGACACCGTTGTAACGATATTTTGGGAAATATATCAAATACAGCTCAGAAATACATTTGCCAAATTGTATCGAGATCGATTCAGATATGGATATAGGTCCCATATATATCTTTATCCGATTGCAGATAATTGTGCACCAAATGGGTAATACAAGCCCGAATTGAAAATGAACAAATGCCTCGGCAAATTTAGTAGAAATTCAGATTCAGAATAGGATATCCTCTCATATATTAGTTCCTTCAGGCATAACTATAATCATAATTGGCCAGGACATTTGGAGTCGGTCTAGCGATGTCCATTCTTCCGTCCGTCTGTTTGTCTCGCTGGTGTGCACGATAACTCTCGAAGGGAGTATCCGATTTGGTCCTTGGTAGATCGTAATATTATTATCAAACTTAGATCGAGTCCGAGGATGGACAATATCGTTCCACTCCTTCTGGTACCTCCCCCACAAAAGGTTCAAAATTTTGAATAACCACGAAGCCCATAAAACGCCAAATTAACATCCGATTCCGTTCAGACTTGGTATTTTTCCACCAACACAAAATCTGTTATAAAGATGGCAGATATCGGACCATTTCTTCTAGTACCTCTCCACGTAGGATTCAAGATTTTTGAAAACGAAACCCTCAAAGAAAGCGAAATAAGCAGCCAACTCTCTTCAAATTTCACACATACAAACATATTTGCTAACACAAGATCTGCGAACGCCTTTTGGTACCTCACCCACAAAGGTCACAATTTTCAAAATTTTTTCTGTCAGAACTTGAGAAACAATTCAGCCATTCTTTACGATTTGCCATATCTAAATATCACTCTCAACCAGAAACCTGAATATGGAATTTATTATTTCGCATAAAGTTGGATATAAATTTTCGATTTTCTTGTAATTTTGCCCATACCAAATGGAATTCTTCGGTCGACTATATCTAGTACCTCACGCAAATTTTAACTTTTTCTAAAAATGATCACATATGTCATATCAAGTGAAGGAAGTAACCAATATAGTCCAAACCTGGCACGTCGCAATGTTTATATCATATTTATTTTGGGACAACTAACTCCCTTGAGTTGTTGACCCTCTAATCATAACAGAAGTTAAAACTTATAAAAATAATCGAACATTGCCTTATGGTATACATGTGTCGGCAAAACCGACTGTACTTTTTAACTTGCTTTTGCTTACGGTAATGCAAAGGTCATATAGTTGTCATTATTTTTGCCCTACTGGAAATGCAATGCAG